AGTGTGTGTTAGTGTGTGTTAGTGCAGTGTGTGTTAGTGCAGTGTGTGTTAGTGTAGTGTGTGTTAGTGTGTGTTAGTGCAGTGTGTGTTAGTGTGTGTTAGTGTGTGTTAGTGTAGTGTGTGTTAGTGTGTGTTAGTGCAGTGTGTGTTAGTGTGTGTTAGTGTGTGTTAGTGTGTGTTAGTGTGTGTTAGTGTAGTGTGTGTTAGTGTAGTGTGTGTTAGTGTGTGTTAGTGTGTGTTAGTGCAGTGTGTGTTAGTGTGTGTTAGTGTAGTGTGTGTTAGTGTGTGTTAGTGCAGTGTGTGTTAGTGTGTGTTAGTGTGTGTTAGTGTGTGTTAGTGTGTGTTAGTGTGTGTTAGTGCAGTGTGTGTTAGTGTGTGTTAGTGTGTGTTAGTGCAGTGTGTGTTAGTGTGTGTTAGTGCAGTGTGTGTTAGTGTAGTGTGTGTTAGTGTGTGTTAGTGTGTGTTAGTGCAGTGTGTGTTAGTGTGTGTTAGTGTGTGTTAGTGCAGTGTGTGTTAGTGTGTGTTAGTGTGTGTTAGTGTGTGTTAGTGTGTGTGTTAGTCTGAGGAATGCTCAGTCTTCTCTGCTGCTGAGTTCAGTTTTGACACAAACTAAGGAAAAACAAGAACAGAACAGGGTTAAAGGACTTTCATCAGAACTTCTTCCTGACCTCATTGTGCTGCTTGTTTTAAAATCAGAAACCAGGGTATCTGCACTAAACATGTTTTAAAGTTATAAAGTAAAAAACAGGACAAGTAAAGCTTCATCCTGTGGGACTTTTAATCTTTCATTTTACTGACAAGGTCTCTGAAAGTCAAACAGCAACAGGAAGGAAATGAGGGACATTCTTGGAAAAAAATTATAATACTCAGAAAATAAGGACTTTAACAAAGACCACATTATAAAAGACAATAAGTTGTCCTAAATAACTTTTTGACATAAACAGACATATTGTTATTATTGTTAGTGTTAGAAACATATTTTATAAACCACTGTATAAATATTAATTAAACGTGCAGAAAATAATCACTAAATGTAAGTTTAAGATGGACACCACATCCAACAAAAAGAACAACAATGGCTTTAARTCATACTTCAAATTGTTTGGTAGCAGCTGAGTCTGTTAACATGGACTTTAAGCTCAATCAGACCACTTAAAGTCAGCTCTGCTTCCCTGTTAGCAAAATATCTCCTGAACCACAGCACAGACTTCACTGAAACTCTCAGAAAGTATGTGTCTGACGTATGTTTACAACTGAATAATGTTTGGAATCAATACAAGTCAAGATGGCCAATCAACATTAGCTAACATGAAATTAGTAATGACAGTAAATCTTACAGATATTGAGTTAAAATTTGGTATGGTAGTAGCTGAGAGTCTTTGCGTAAAAATCCAGCATGAAAGGCAGCAGGTGATATGCATTCCTTCAAGTTTTGAACAAACTCTGAAAGCTATAAAAATGATTTGTTGAATGTGACACTGGTGTTTGGGAGAAGTACAGACAGGCTGAAATCTTTTAAATAATAACAGTAATAAAAGCCTAAAATGAAAACAAACTGTTTTATTTTAGGTAATGTTAGAAATCAAATCCAGCAACTAACTGATCCTGTCTTTGTTTTAATCAAACTAAATAAAGACCAGTTTTCACTTCCATTACTTTTTTCACCACACACTTCCTCCACAGTTGAGCAACCTTAATAAATCATACGTTAGCGCAGAGGTTTTTTCAGATCCAGATACATTCCTGGGTTTTTTTCTCTCTTACAGTGAGAGGCCCCAGGGTTCATCTCACACAGCAAACCAACATGTCTAATTTCTTTTCTGCTTCGATGAGGAAAGGAGTCTGTTCTGAATAAGAAAACATRTTAATATGTGCTTTAAGTGTGTTAAAGGGTATTTAGTATTTATTCAACAGCTTGAAAGGCTTAGGAAACTAAAGAAAGAGGTGGAACTGAGTAGCAGTATGTACTATGCATATACAGTGGAGAAATAAAGTATTTAGTCAGCCACCAACAAGTTCTCCCAATTAAAAACATGACAGGCCTGTAACTTACATCAAACCTTTGACCTAGAAAGCACATTGTCTGATTTTTAAAGAATTTATTTGCAAATTATGGTGGAAAATAAGTATTTGGTCAATAACAAATAAGGAAGATTTCTGTCTCTCACAGATATGTAACTTAGTCTCGTCTGTCCTCCACTCGTCACCTGTAGTAATGTCACCTGTTTGAACTTATTATCAGTATAAAGACACCTGTTCTCAACCTCAAACAGTCACACTCTACATTACACTTAGGTGAAGACCAAAGAGCTGTGTAAAGACACCAGAAACAAACTGTAGACATGCACCAGGCTGGGGTAGACTGACTCTGCAGCTTGGTGTGAAGAAATCAACTGTGGGAGCAATAATTAGAAAATAGAAGAACTACAAGACCACTGATAATCTCCCTCCATCAGGGGCTCCATGTAAGATCTCACCCCGTGGGGTCAAAATGATCACAAGAACAGTGAGAAAAAATCCCAGAACCACACAGGGACCTGCTGAATGACCTGCTGGAGGCTGGGACTAACCTACCAAAGACTACCATCAGTAACACACCATAACCTACCAAAGACTACCATCAGTAACACACCATAACCTAACAAAGACTACCATC